ATCCCAGTTTCTTAAATTCACAATATTTACTGGCCTGTTTTAAACAATAATTGGTTCATCTACTTTTTGAGAAATAGTCATAAACTTAGCTGTCTCTGCATCTCCTAGTTTTTTCTTGAGTGTTATGCTTTTCACTATTAGTTGATTTATATCATCAAATGTCATATTTTCCAACTGTCTTGAGTGTGCAATTGCTGATACTTTTTAAAGACCTCACAACCAACAGTTGCCAAGAAGAGATCAGTTATTTGGTTTTGACAGGTATACCATAATTAAACTGTTTTTACTACTTTATCTATCATTAATTGTAGTTAAGTTGAATATAATTGCTTATTGAAGGTAAATGTAGCATGATTATATTATTTAAATTTAGTTGTTATTCTTAGATTTTCATAAAAATTAATTTTTGCCACTGTATTTATCAGTACAATACTTGTATATATCAATTCCATTTTAAGTCTAATTAGTTAATGTTAGTAATCAATTATAAAAATGTCGGAGCTGTGATGAGAAACAATTTGAAAATTAGTGTGATTAAATTAACAGTGGTTTCATTTAGTAAAAATATATTGAAACATTTTTAAATGTGTAAACCTATTTTTGCACAGTCATACAAACACACAGAATTTCATTTTTAATCAAATTGCCCCAAGCAAGGTGATAATGCCATTAGACACAAGGAGCTACTACAAAAGGAAAAGAGAGGGGAAAAAAATTTAGAAGAACTGGAAACCCACTCCTGAAAAGGAAACAAGGAATAAACCTCTACTCCCATTGAAAAGATTTCAATTTTCATTATGCAAATAAATATACACAACAATCTACTTGAATATATAAATGAGTTAAAGATGAAATACAGATTGGAAACTGACAGGATGATAAAATAAATAATGTTTCCAATTTGTTCTTTAATTTGTTCATATTATTTTATATATATATATATATATATATATATATATATATATATATAAATGGGTTAAAAATCAAATGCAGATCAAATGTGGGTCGGAATCCAACAGGATGATAAAATAAAGAATGTTTCCTATTTGTTCTCTTTATATCATTCATATATATATATATATATATATATAAAAGTATGTATGCATACTTACATGAACACAGACAAAGATCATCTATCCATAAGAAGTTGATTAATAATTATTTCATAGTAAAGCTTAATTAATAATTAGTTTTTCTAACTGTAGGATTCCAGCTCTTGCTTTTTTCTCAGTGTGTTTTCTTGCTTTCAAGACATAATCAAATCACATTTTGCATTTCCATGAAAGCTTCTTCAGCAAAAATTATAAGGTTAGCTGAAGCATAATATCAAAGGCTTAAAGTGATGACTTCCCATCACCAATTAAGCAATTTGTAAATAAATATATAATTACCAATCAGTGTACTCTTCTTCATGATTAATTTTCATCAGTTTTTTTCTCACTGTAATTATTTACATTACAAAGTTATTGCTAATTTATCAAGTTCAAATTAAGGATTTTAGGTAAAAAATGATTGCTTTAATCTTGCAATTATCATCTTTTCTTATATGTCACGTCATGAGACCATAACAAATTAGGGTCAGACAAGCAGCACATGTACTGCAGACTGGTTTTGAATTCTTTTTTCCTTCTCTTAAACTGATTGCCATCTCAAGGCTAGAGAGCCAAGTCAGCCTTAGTGTCAAAGTCATAGATGTGAGGAGAAGAGATGGTATCATACTTTTCCAAAGAGTATTTCTTAAAAAATGACTTTGGCTAGAATTTGAACTCGACTTAATGATTTCTTTTTTCAAGTCACTAATTGTTACACTATCTACATTCCAGATAGTGTGATGAATTTTATAATTTGGGCTGCAGTAAAACCATCTACAGAGTATTGTTCAAAACTGATGAATCAAATCCTATGAAATGCATGTACTTTATTCAAAGTAATACTAACTGATTATAAGGCTTGGAAAAAAAAGTGATGACAATGATTATCATTTTAGGATCAGATACTGTTTTCTGGTGTTGGAAAAGACACTTAATTATAACAGAATAGGCAACAGGTTAATCAGTGCAGAACAGTCCTAAGAAAAGCTACATTTATTAGTAAACAAGAATATATCTTAAAAGATTTTTTTCTTATACAGCAGAAAATGTATCTTAAAATTATTAGTGGAAAAATAAAAATACATCTTAAAGGAGATTTTTATTACAACTAATACGCAACAGAAAATGCAACTTAAAATCTATCCTTGAGTCAAAGTAATCATGAATCCATTCTAAAATGCCTGATTAAATTACCTATGAATAGATCATTTTGGCAAACAGCTACCCATAAACTAAGAAAATAAGTGTTCCAATGTTTTTATAAACTTCTTTTGATGTTCCTAAGGGAAAATAATTGACTTATTTTACTCCAGCCTAACCTAAAAATCTTCTTCTATACATCTTATTCCTTCAGGATGTGGGAAATGACGGCTCTTCACAGTTTCTTGTCCTTTGTTGCCCTTAGTAAAGTTTGACCTTTTCTTCACAAGTTCATTTAGTAGACAATGTTCTACTTTCCTCTGACTGTCTTGTCTTCAATGTCCTCTGAATGTCAAAATAAGGAATGAGGAATAACTATCACACCAAAGACACACTCTACCCATTACTGCTATGCCTTAATGGTGCTGGATCCATGATGTGACATAATATCTTACAGATTTTAAACGGATGATTATTTTCACTGAAAAACTTAATCTTTTTTTTTTTTTGTCTACAGATTATCAACCTTTTGCAGATAAAGCCGGAAAATATATTTAGATTGTAAGAACTTTTGGGAGATAATGATTTACTGATACAAGCCAAGTTAATTAACCCATAGCTGGGGAGAAGAGGTGGATTATTCATACTTTTCTCAAGGGTATTTGTGCATAAATGAATTTTTTTTTAGGTTTCTGTATGTTTTGCCAATGTAGATACTTGGGCATTTTGTGCAGTCTATTTTGTATATTCCTGCTTCTGCTCTGCTGTTTTTGCCATCTCATGTGATGCTAACTATATCTCTTATTGTTTTAAAGATGGTATTGATGAATTTTATGTTATGGTTTGACAAGTTTTTATGGGGGTGGATGTTAAGGAGTTGGTAGGTAGGTATGACACCATGATTGCAGTCAAAGTTTCACTGGTGATCTAATTTTTATTTCTAAAGAAAGAAAAAATATTTTTCATGATAAAACAATGCATTATCATGAATTTTCTGGTTTGTGTCACTTATGGAGTATAGTGTGAGAGGTGAATTTGTAAGCTTTGGTGGGATTGGTTGTTAGGTAAAGCAAATCTTTACAGGTCAGGTTTGTTTTGATCAGGGATATGACATACTCTAAGATGGAGGTGCTGATGACACCTGTGATAATCAGGTAAAATGAGGGTGAGATTTTGGAACACTGAAAATGTTCCAATGAAAGTGGATATAAGCAATACAAAGCCACCATTTTTGATTGGCCTGATAATGAGAGAAGGGCTGGGATGGAGCTTCTCATCTCTCTCTCTCCACCCAATGATACTTATGACACAGGGCCATTATTTTAATTGAACCACCAATCATATTGGGTTCATGAGAGCTTTCCTTCCAGCTTAAGAATTCCTCATATGGAGAAACTTCTTCAAATCCCTTTTGTTTATGTATTCATGATATTAATCATAGTAACAAAAATAAAAGTTGATATTTTTACACTTGTTAATGAGTGCTATTGAAGTTAATTAAGTTTCCTGTTGACACTGGTTGTTGGGATTATTATTGTTATTATGCATTTCTTGTATTTTTCTGTGGATTTTGTAGGCTTTGTTTTTAGCATTGTGCAGAAAATAATTTGGGTATTATAGTAGTTCAAATATGCTTTTGATTCATTAACACCACCTCTAAAACAATAAAAGATATAGTGTGTATCAAACAAGATGGTAACAATAACAGAACAGAGGTAGAATAGATTGCACAAATGCCCATTGATGTACATCAGTGAAACATCCTGAAAGTTCAAAAAAAGATTACATGAACACTGCAGAGATATTTTGCATAACACCATAACTGAATACAACAAACCCAACTGGAATTGGAACTCAACTTTCAGATTTTCAATCCCAAACTATTATCCATTATACCACTTTCACATTCAAGTTCACAGAATCTGGTATTTCAAAGTGATCACCAATCTAGGTATTGAACAGGCTTGATGTTGCTTAACTTTGGTGATTGTATGAGCTGGTGTTTCAATGTGATATTGCCGTAAGCTTAATCTGTGAAAGTTTGAACTTGTTAAGCTTGTAAACTAAATAATTACAGTGGGGAAAAAATCCCAATTACAAATTCTAATTTAAAGAAGTGGCTGGGGCTTTAATATTTGAATCAATAAACTCATGTTGATTTAAGGATCTACCATTATTTAGATGATTTTTAAGAGATAACATAGGTATGAGAATCAGCATTTATATAGATACAAAGTTATTTTTTCTATTATGGTGAAAGATGATCTGATGAAATGACTGAACAAATATTCATTGAAAAACATGAATAAGAACTGTTGTAAGGAAAGACTGTCTCCAGAGCTATTAGGAAAAGTATGAAGAGTGTTAGATAAAGAGCTAGGGAAATAAATCAATAATGCATTGATCCCTGAGCTCAATGGCTATTGCTTGGTCAGCAATGATGACCATTGTATCCTTAAGACAACTAATAAGTCATGTTTATGGGAGCCTATAAAAGACATAAAGAGAGACCCCATTTAAAGGACTTGTTCAGTCAAGTGTTTGTAACCCAACCAGTTGTTTTCTTTCTGCTTTCTATTTACCAATCAATTGACTAACGACAGAGTCAATTGTTGGGTGAAGGGGCAGGGGTAGGATGGTAGAAAAGTGCAGAAGGAAAGGGAAAACATGAAAACAAGGAACAAATAATTGAAAAATAAAGGACTCTGGAAGTTATTCAGTCAAAGGTGAATAAAAAACAAAACAAAAATGAATTATGACGATAAAAGATTACTGATTGTTAGGAAGAAAAATTAAGAAAGAAATGAGGACAAGAATAAAAGAAATAAGAAAACAGAATAGATAAAAGAATGGAAATGTGGAAAAGAAAGAAGTATGTGATAAGAAATGATAAAAGTGAAGAAGTGATAGAAAAAAGAAAATAAAGGAGAAAAATAAATAAGTAAATAAGAAAAATGCTTCATAAAAGACATAAAGAAAGAAGTGATAAAAAAGAGAAGAAAGAAAAAGAAAACAATGTATAAAATAATGAAGGAAAGAAATGATGATAAAAATAAAGGAAGAAGAGAAAGAAATGTTTGAATAGAAATGAGAAAAGAGAAGAAGTGATAGAAAAAAACAAGTAAAGAGATAAATAATTAAATAAGAAAATAATGCATAAAATAACAAAAGAAAGAAATCACAACAGAAAAAGAAATGCAAAAAAGAAATGCTTGATAAATACTAAAAGGGAAGAAATGATGGAAATAAAAAAGAAAGGAAAAAATAAACAATGTCTAAAATAATGAAAGAAAAGAAATGACAAGATGATAATGCAGAAAAAAAAGAAATGTTTGATAAATGACATAAGGGAAGAAATGATGAAAAAAGAAAAGAAAGAAGAAAACAATGTCTAAAATAATGAAAGAAAGAAATGACAATACAATAAAGGAAGAAAAGAAAGAAGTGTTTGAATAGAAATAACAAAAGGGAAGAAATTATGGAAAAAGAGCAAAGTAAGATTGCTTAGACATAAGATATTGAGACTGAAAAAGAGTAGGTTTTAATGATTTTTTTTTCCCAATTTCTGAAAAAAAAACAACCTTTTTCTTCTTATCTGAACATGTAAATTGGAACAAGACCTTGGGAACCTCTCTGTCAACAGAGCAATTAAAAAGAGATCACAAGGTCTCAAGTGCAAGCCTAATATTGGCCTCCAAGTGTGTGAACAGTACAGTTTATGTGAGCAGTAAGTAAAAATAAAAGTCAACAAAAATACTGTATGAAAAAAAAGAAATGAATTCACACAGTTTTCATTGATATTTATCCCCAGCAGTATGGCTGCAATATAAGGAACTTGTAATTGAAACAGGGTGAACAAGGGATGGGAGAAACTGTAAATACAGTCAGTAAATAATAAAGAGAAATTATATATATATATATATATATATGGCCTGTCTTCATTGAAGTCTATTACCTAGAATAGAATGAAGTCATAATGAAAATTGAAAAGGGGAAGAACTACAAGAAGTAGAATAAAGCAAGAATCACATCTGAAGATAAATGAGAAGAGAAAGAATAAATGAAAGCAATATCTATATGATTGTTTAGCACTGTTTGTACACTTACACAAATTATAAAGAAAATCAAATGCATTTCAATATCTCTTATATGTATCTATCTCAAGTGTTCACAAAACAAACAAATTGAGATAAAATTTGGTCTCTAGAGGCAACTCAGCCTTAGAAATGATACTGCCTGGTTTAAGTTAAATGCTTTAAAAGATTGTCTTTAAGCTTTGTTAAAAATTTTATAACATTTTTTTTCATAATTAAGAATAAAACAAAAGAGAATAAACAATATATATGCCTCTTATTTTAAGTAATATTTCTATGTCGGAGATTGAAGAACAAAACAATGTGATAAAGTTTTAGCATTAAAATATACAATATAACATGTTTCATTAAGTCAGGCTATGAAAATGGCTTCTTTCTATTAACCTTTACTTTTCAACTTTGTACAAGACCTGTGATACAGTGTCAGAGAGAAACATGAAATGAGATAAAAATTTCCTATTTTTATCTAAGAAGATAAGAAAAATGCAATTTTTAATTTATTTTTGATGCTTTATATAAAAAGGCATTTCAAATCAAACTGAGGAATCAAAACTGACAGTTCATCATTTTGTAGTTTAGTCAATAGTAACTTTTGAATACAATGTTGTAATCATTAAAACAAATTATTACCAGCTCTTAATATGAAAGTAAACAATCTCCCTACATAGCAGTGAATGCTGGACAATTTCCACACAGATGTATGGTTCTTCAGAAGGATGCTGAGAATACCATGGATAATGTGTGTTTGCAACAAGAAGTTTTAAGGAAAATTAGAACAATTAGGATACGTGGACTAAGCAAGAGAGAGTTGAAATATATGGGACACATAATCAGAAAAGAGGGCTTGGAGCATTTGACACTCACAGGGCATACTAAAAGCAAGTGGGGTAGAGGGAAACAGGGAATAACCTACCTAATGAAGTTGTATAAATAAATGACTGAACAGAGAGTGGGATGACTGTTTAGAATTATGAAGTTGTGGAGAGTCATGATTGCCTACATCCTTATTGGACACAGCACATAAAAAAGAACATAAAATAGAAAATATGCAATCATGTAGTTGATAAAAAGTTGAAGAGACAGTCATGTAACTGATAAAAAGGATCACTGATGTCTCTTTGATAAAAGTAATTGGAATTTTTTTATTTACCTGAAAATTAGTATAGCAGCCTGTTAGTCATTTAATGAACATTGTTTCAGGCAGTTCTGTTGGTTAACAAAAACTGCATGTTGCAGTGAAAAGGTTTAAAGTCCCAGACAAATAGAAACTACATTGTTTATTAGCTGTCATTTAATAATCCTTTTCTCTAGCTGCAATTTGTGAAAATCCGAAATTAGTGATTTGATAAAAACATAATAACAAAAATGAACTAATGAAATAGTTTCAATTCTTGTTTGGCAGTGTAAATGAAAAACTTCCAAATCTTGTTGAAGAAATGATTATGATGATTGACTAATTTGTTTTTTATGGCTTATCAACCCATTGTATGTTTTAAATAAACTGCATTTCATTTTTTCTTATCTTCTTAGATAAAAATAGGAATTTTTTTTATCTCATTTCATGTTTCTCTCTGACACTGTGTCACAGGTCTTGTGCAAATTTGCGAAGTAAAGGTTAATAGAAGAAAGCCATTTTCATAGCCTGACGTAATGAAACATGTTATACTGTATATTTTAATGCTAAAACTATGACTTTGTTTTGTTCTTTAATCTCTGAATTAGAAATCTTGCTCTTCATTTTCTAAATATGCTAGAAAATATCTTTAGATTGCAATAATTTTTGAAGATAATGATTTTTTTCTCTTAAAAGTTCTACTAATTAACCCATAGCTAGGAGGGAGAAAAGGTAGATTTGTACCATTCCTAAAGATATTTGCACATAAGTGAATATAATGAACCCAACTGGAACTAGAAAGCATTTAAATATATGAATATCATTTGTTTAAACATATAAGAAACTCTCAAAAGGAATTTTGACATGTTAATTGTATTTGGACCACCAATATTGTTATGTAAATATTCATTTGCAAATTATATATATTGGTCATCTAGATCACATGTAATCATATTTATTTATTAGTTATCATAGCAAAACATTTACTTTTTTGTATATTATATTGTTCATAAAAATACACATTCTTCTATGTCTCTTCAGGACATGGGCAGTCATGGCTCACCACAATTACCTGTCCTTTGTAGCTCTTATTAAATTTTATCTTTATGCTATCTTTCCTGATCTCTGTTCTACCAACTATTTACACAAGCTCATACTTTCCTCTGTTTCTCTTGCTTTCAATATGTCTTTTTAAGCCCACTTTCCACATTACGTACTCTAAATTTCAAATCTCTTTCTGAAGTTAAATATAATTATCTGTTTTTGTTTCCATTTTCCCTAAAACTTTGTTGTTGCTCATATTTACAGTATATGGTATACTCAGCATCTTTCTGTAGAACCACATTTCTTTTTGCCTCAAGTCTCTTATTCATCTATGAAGAGATTGTCCAACACTGTCATATAGGAATGATATTACATAGCAGGTCAGTACACTTTTCTTTGTTTCCAATGAAATTTTCTGTTTAATATTTTGCTTAACATTTGGAAGGCATCTTTCGCTATAAAAATACACCTTCAGAATTAAGTGTCACATTTTCCATCTGTTAAAATTTCCTAGATATTTAAATTTTCACACTTGTTTAATTTTAGTTTCTCCAATTTGTAATTTGCATGGGCTGCTTCTTTTGTTGACAACCATACATTCTATTCTCTGACAATTGATGTTTAGTTCTTTCTTCTCTCTTTCTTTTAGTACTTTCTGTAGGAATTCCTGCAGTTTTTGTTCTATGTCTTCTATCAACACTGTGTCATATGCATATTTAATATTGTTAAGATTGTGACCACAAATTATGAATTTTGATAGAAATTCTAATTCTCTTAGGATTCAACTCACTATAAAGATTGAGCAAGTCTGGTGAGAAGACACATCCTTGTCTTATGCCCTTTTCTATTTTTTTTGTATATATTATTTAATCAATATTTTTACACATTCTATTGATATAGTTATGCAGTGGGTATCATTACATTAATATTAATAAAAATCAATTTCGTTGGTTGACTGATATTTGTAGATGTATCAGCCTCTTAGAGTAAGGCTAAAATAATAATAAAGAAAATGAGGATGAAAGGGAGAATAGATAAAGTTCTAAAAGAAGAGGAAAGAAAAAGAAGAAATGGAGACAATCAAGATGTAAAAGAATATAAAAACAAGAAAGAAAGAAGAGAGAATGAATAAATGAAGAGAGAGAGAGAATGAATGAATGAAGTGAATAAAAACAAGTATAAATTGAGAATAAGAATAAAGAATTTAGACTGAAAAATGAGAATAAGTAAAGGATTGGAATTAAGGAAGATCTAGAAGGTATGGAAACTCTTGAAAATGAAGACAAGTGGATTCAAAAAGTCAGAAGGGGGGAGAAATTTTAAAGGAAGAGAGAAATATGAGAAAAATTTATGGAAGGCAAGAATAAATGGTAAAGAGTTTAAATTACCTTTGCTTTGAGCATATTTACACTGTTGATGCTTAGTAGCTCTGTCTGAGATCTAAAGAATAAACACAATATAAATTGGGAAAGAGCGAGTCGTAAAACTCAAACACCAAACCAGAAACTAAATCTCTAGGAACAGGGATATAATTATAGAACACACATACAAAAGAAGAAAAATAAGGAATGAAAGTTGAAAGAAAGAGTAAAAGGAAAAAGAGTAAAACAAGCTGATAATGATAGAGTATCAGAGAAAATGTAAATTAAGAGGAGAGAGAGAGTGAAAGCTACAGAAGAAAGATGATGATAAATAGAAATCCAAGTGATAATAAGAAAAAGCAGGTAAACATAGAGGGGTCAGAGCAATGTTAGGAAAAGACAATGCCAAAGAAGAAGTAAAAAGTAAAAAAAAAAAAAAGAAAGTGACATGAATGATAGGAGAAGGATGATGAAAGGAATGAAAGAGAAAATAAAAAAAATAAAATGGAGATGGAAGGCAGGATGAGACAAAATCAATGACTTAATCATTATACTCAGTTGTGTCACTGTGATTCTCTGAGAGATTCCAACAAAGTAATCGATAATGGTTAGTAAGCGCTGAAGCCATCAATTTCCCAAATTGAATGCATGGTACTTGAAACTCTGTTTACGTCTAACTCTCTGGTCTTGGCTGATATCTTTTCCCATTTGACATTTTTTTATTTTATTCAGGCTGACACGAAAGCCAGCATTACTATGTATCAGTTATATAAAGCAATTTCATAACAGGTGAGTATTTGTGTGTTGATAAGTATGGTACATTGATTATTATAATATCACCTACAGTTAAAGAAGTTAATTTATCTAAGCAATTCCAACTATTAGATTATTTGGGATTTTTAGTATTCTTCACAGATGAAGAGGAGACTGGTGGCAACAGAGATGTGGTTTTATAGACAGATGCTGAAAATATATTATGGACTGAGCATGTGAGCAACAGTGAGGTCTTAGAGGGGATGCAAACAAGGAGGAGGCTTATGCTTAACATCAGGAAGAGTCAACTGAAGTTTCTGGGGCACATAATGAGGAAGGAAGGGCTGGGGAATCTGATACTCACAAGTCAAATAGAGGGAAAGAGAGACAAGGGAAAACAATGCATGACATACCTAGCGGGATGACAGAATGTGGTCTGGGGAAGGAAGCAGAGAGAAGGAACTTATTGAGAGCTGCAATGGATAGAGGGAGGTGGAGAGCCATGATCACCTATGTCTTGAAAGGACATGGCACATAAAAAGAAAAAAGCTGAGAATATTATTGACAAAAATTGTCAACGACAAGGAAATTTTAAGGAAAATAGAAACAAAACAGATTACTTATATTTAGAATCAGAAAGAGATATTTAAATTTTCTAGGATACTCATGACAGAAGAGTTGGAAAATTTAACATTTACAGAGGACAATAAGGACAGATTATATAGTGACTAAATACCTAATAAGTTTGTCTAAGTGGATGAATGAACAGGGAGTATGACAGAGAGCATAAAAACAAACATATCTAAAAGCTATAAAGGATAGGATGTTATGGAGAGTCATAACCCCCTATATTCTGACGGGATATAAAACATACAAGAAGAGAGAAGTAAAATATATAGTTTTGTTTCTCTTCATTTCAAAAGCAGATATTGTATAAAAGGAAACACTGATTACAAAAAATGTTAATGTTCAAGCCTAAGAGAAATATCTTTTGGAAGAGTAATAATTCTAATCCATTTTTACACTGGCAAAAAGCATAGATATTTATGAAACTTTGATAAGTGGATCTGCTTCTTTCTGCATGGAGATCAAATCAGGATGAAGAAACTCTGATCAAGTATATACCTTTTTTATGGTAACGTATACTAGCACAAATGAAAAATTAATTGTAAAAGTCCTTGTACTTGTAACATTATTGTTGCACATTAAAAATAAAAACAAAAGACTGAATTTCTCATATTTTGTAATGACACAAAGTGCAAAATATATTCTGTATATTCTGTATACTGTATACTGTATATTTTTAATAGTCATAGTTGTATAAACAATTGCAACTGAAAATTGTCTTTAGATGGAAACCCAAAACTGAATATAATTTAGGAATCAAGATTGATATTTTGTCACTTTTTATGAAATTGCAAACTTTATAGAATACATTCTTGCTTGTGCAAGAAAAAAAACCTTAATTATAAAATCAAATAGCAAATGTTTACTTTTTAAAAAAATAAAATAAGAATTATCAATACACTTCTTATAGCTGGAAAAGGAAAACCAAATACAAACTGAATGGTATTACTAGATATAACTTTGTGAATCAATCCCCAATGATATACCTTTTCCTTTTCTTTAAAACTGGCAAATTTAGATAACTTTATTATACATCAGACTGTTTATGTGTGTCACACGTAGGATGTTTTTTTATAAGACATATTTTATGTAAGGTTTAAAACAAATATCTTTATTGAGATAGTGTTGAATAAATACAGGACTTGAGTGAAGAATATTTTTACTATATATTCTAGTCAAATACAATATTTTAATAGAATATATAATAAAAATTTTCTTCTCAGACAAAAACAGAAAAGGCATGAATGAAATTTATCATTATTGCGCCACCATATACATTTAACTGGAAATATCTGTGTTAAATGATAAATTAATGTAACCAAGTAAAATGCTTCAAATGTATTGCTGAATCCTTATTTGAAGTTAAATTGGAATCCAGTAGATAAATCCTGTGTGTTAAAAAAGAATACAAATCTAGAATTAAATATATCTGTACTGTTTTTCTTCAATGACACTTTTTTAAAAAATTTAATCTGAAAAATAGAAAATTGAAAAATCACAAAACAGTTCAGCATTTTTAAAATTCTCATCACTTACAATTAAATTTTTTTTGATATTCACTATGATTTTAACCAGGTAAAAATATAAAATATCTTTTGAAGAATGAGTTGCATTATATTTGGCAGCTCAATAATATTAACAAAAAAAAAACAGTTTATGATTACCAACAATATTTTCTGTAAATATTTTCATAGTTATTGTTCTGATGAACTTTCCTCTTTAGTACCTAGACTTTATGAATTTAAGTGTACTATTAGATTAGTGGCAATGTCTCATCATCTTACAGTTGAGATATCTTGATGTTACTCTAAGTTCTATGCTAACAGTTTCTTCTCTAATACTTCTCACTTGTTGACCTCACTTACAGCTTCTAGCTTTCCAGTCAACTTTGATCTTGAAAAATTTAAATGCAATATCAATTGTTATCTTCTGTCTTCTTAATTCCTGCTCTTTTATTTTTCTCTCTCCTTAATGTTTTCCTTTTCCCATATTCTCACACACTCAGTAACCCATTGCACCTTAGTGGCTTTATTGCCTTGCTTGTGGTGAAGTACTTAAAAATACAACAACAACAATGAAAAAAAAAAAAACATTACCAAAAACAAGAGTTAAAATCATAAAAAAATCCGACAGTGAAAAAGGAAACTAAAAGAAACTTTTGGGATTTTAAAAGCAAAGAAATTAAAATAGGTTTTAAGTTGTTTTTTATTCTAACTTTAAAAAAAAAAATTGTAGGAAATCTTTTGAAAAGAAATAGTTTCAGGCTTAGAAAATTAGCAGCTTTTCAGAATTGTCTCTCAATATAAAACCAATTCATCAAAGAATGACAGTAAAAGATAGCTGATTATTTGATAGCTCGTGCATCTCTCACCTTAGCATTCAATTTTAGACAACATGAAGGAAAATTCAAATATAGCCTCAATAAAATGATTGGCTCAATAAGGTGAACTTCATAGAAACAGAAAACAAACTTGATTTAATTTTTCTTATACATGAATATAGACTTTAATGAGAAAGTGGAATTTTTTTTCATCTTATGCACTTCATCAGACTAAAGTGATATTTACATTGATGTAAATACACATGCACATGAAGGAGAGAGAGAGGGAAATTTTAAACTTTTATATTTAAATTTAAACCTCAATGTAGACATCACTTTAGTCAGATGAAGTCCTAAAGATAAAAATGCATCACTCTAAAAAATTTTTCCACTTTGTCATTAATTTTCCTAAAATTGTTCTGGTATATAAAAATTTATATCTCTTTTTCCCACTCTGTTATTTTTCAAATTTCAGTTATTTCTGCTGTTGACATATCAGAATTATTGTTGTTTGTAATTTCCTTAGACTCTTGACATGTGCATTTTGAAACATTTTCAGAACTATCTCTAATTTGCAGTGAGGAAATACCAGATGGTCTGAATCAGATTTAGTGTCAATAATGAACATTTGTTCTAAACGAATTATATCTGTAGTGATCCCAATATATATTTAGGATCACCACAGAATTTCGAAGTAGGATTTGCATTCAGTATCATACCAAAGTGTCAAAGAAACCAGATTTATCAGGTGAAAGGAAGCCTTCAAGCTGCCAAGTGCAAAGTCATGCCTCACAAAGGTTGTCAGTGGCTGCCCCTGACGTATACATAGGTGGGGGGTCTAAACCAACCGCATTTAGGATATGTTTATATGAGATCAGATGATAGGAAGATATATAATTACTACACCTAAGAGAGAAAGGGAAGAGAGCCTCTTACAACTTTGCAAGTTTGTGTTCAGAGAAATTCCCAAAACCATACACCTTTACATCAATATTAACTGACAAAATTTACAGGTGAATAAGTGATTATTTTTACATATAAGAGATTTATACTTGTCTTTATATTACTCTTTCTGATAAAACATTACACGTGGAATATGATTCCACTGATATTTTGCTGCTGAATTTGCTTTTTGAAACTGCCTAACTTTTTAAAATAGTTTTTGGCTATTGATGAAAATAAATTTAAAATAAATTTATGAACAAAAAGGATTGTATTTTAGTTTCCTCATATAGCATCACACTTATCTTACAAGTTCAGTATTTGTGAAGAAAATGCTTCCTGGTTCTCACAAGTCTAAATTTAAAATCTATGCTCCTCTTGTTTTTCTCTCTTTCTGTACTGGTTTCATGAGGATATGATTTGTTGAATTATGTTAGCAATCTAAACAGGATCATATATGCAAACCAAAATGAAAGAGGAGTAGGGTTAATACTAGATAATGGCATAAAGAAATGTGTTCTGAGATACTTTCTGACAAAATCCTTTTAGTTAAACTGAAGAGAAAACCTTTTAACATAGCAATTATTGGTGTATACTGACAGGACAAAGCACAGAGGTTGATAACTTTAACAGCTCACTGAATAATGTCAAGACAATATAAATCAA